AATGGAATTACTCAGCTTTAAATAAGAATGAAATTATGGCATTTACCAGTAAATGGAGTTGGAGAATATCATGCTAAGCGAAATAAGCCAATCTCAAAAAACCAAAGACTGAATGTTTGCTCTAATATGCCACTGCTAATTCACAATAAGGGTGGTGGGGCACTAGAAAAGAATAGTTACCTTAGATGAGGTAGAGGGAAGTAAAGGGAGGGGAGGGGATGTGAGGATAGGAAGGATAGTAGAAAGAAATAGACATTATTACTTTATGTATATAGTGACTGCATGACCAATGTGATTCTACAAACTGCACACTTGGAAAAATAATGTTATATCCCATCTATGTATGATATATCAAAGTGTATAAATGCATTCTACTATCATGTATAACTAATTAAAATGAATTAAGTTTTTTAAAAAGCAGCCAATATGTGCCAGACAAGGTGGGACACATCTATAATGCCAGTGAGGAGAGGTTGAGGCATGAGGAGAGGAAGGTAAAGACCAGCCTGTTCAACTTTCTTTTTTTTATATTTATTTTTAAATTGTAGTTGGACAAATATCTTTATTTTATTTATTTTTTATGTGGTGCTGAGGATCGAACCTAGGGCCTCACACGTGCTAGGTGAGCAGTCTACCACTGAGAAACAACCCCAGCCTAGCCTGGTCAACTTGATAAGACCCTGTCCCAAAATTAAAAAGATGAGAGATCTAGTTTAGAGGTAACACTTGAAGAAAATCAACAATCATTCATGATTTTTTCTTCATTCATGATTTTTAAAAATCTCAGTAGACTAGGAATAAAAGGGAACTCTCTTCAACCTAGTAAAGGATACACACACACACATACAACTACAGCTAACATTTAATGGTGAAATACTGGCTAAGAATGGGAACAACACAGGAACATTCACCACCACTTTTATTCAGCAGTGTACTGGAAATCCTAATCAGTGGAATAAAGCAAAGAAGAGAGAGAGAGAGAGAGAGACAGACAGACAGACAGACAGACAGACACAGACACAGACATATGGGAAATAAATGTTCTTATTTACAAAAGACATTAAAAAAAATCTGGAGCAGGGGCCAGGATTGTGGCTCAGTGGTAGAGCACTTGCTTAGCACATGTGAGGCACTGGGTTCAATCCCCTGCATCACATAAAAATAAACGTATAAAATAAAGGTATTGTGTCCAAAATCTGAAGAGATTTCCAAAAAAGTTAGTACCAAGTTAATTTCCAAAACTAATGATCGAATTTTGCGTCAGGATACAAGATCAGTACACAAAATCAAATCAATTAATCTTTTTTTTTTAAGAGAGAGACAGAGAGAGAATTTTTAATATTTATTTTTTAGTTTTCGGCGGACACAACATCTTTGTTTGTATGTGGTGCTGAGGATCGAACTCGAACCACACGCATGCCAGGCGATCGCGCTACCGCTTGAGCCATATCCCCAGCCCTCAGTTAAACTTTAATATGTTAGAATTTCTTGGCAAATGAACAAAGTGAGCCTGTCACTTCAAGCAAAATAATTCACTGTATTTGTTCCCAGCAATAAAACAAACTTTCAAACAAAAATTAGGATTTTTGAAAAATTTGTACCCACTGTTGTAAGCTTAAAAGTTTCATAACATTTGGAGCTGGAGTTGTGGCTCAGCGGTAGAGTGCTTGCCTAGCATGTGCGATGTCCTGGGTTTGATCCTCAGCACTACATAAAAATAAATAAATAAAACAAAGGTATTGTGTCCAACTACAACTAAAAAATAAATGTCTTAAAAAAATTTCCTTGGGCTGGGGATGTGGCTTAAGTGGTAGCGAGCTCGCCTGGCATGCGCGGGGCGCTGGGCTCGATCCCCAACACCACATAAAAACAAAAAATAAAGATATTGTATCCACTTAAATACTAAAAAAATAAATATTTTAAAAAACTTCCTAACATGTAATCATTTTTGTGATACATTAGTGATATTAACATATGTGATTTTTTTAAAGATGGATCTGGTCTAGAAATTGTACGGGTTTAAGGGATCTTCTGGCCTCAGCCTCTCAAGTTGCTGGGACTACAGATGTGTGCCACCATACCCCATCAAATATTATTTTGGCTGTATTAGAGATCAACCTAGTCAGTGTCTCACGAACGCTAGGCAAGCTCTCTACCACTAAGTTACCTCCCCAGTCTTTTTTCTTCTGTTACTGGGGATATGAACTCAGGGCTTCCGTCATTCTAGGCATACTAACACAGAGCCACAACCACGGCCCTTTATTTATTGGTATAGCGGATTGAACTCAGGAGCACTTAATTACTGAGCTATATGCCCAGTCCTTTATTTTATTTTGAAACAGGTCGCGCTGAATTGCGTAGGGCGTTGATAAATTGCTGGGCTTGCCTCAAATTTGCGCTCCTCCTGTCTCAGGCTCCCAAGTCGCTGCGATTACTGGCGTCGCCACAGCGCCCAATTCCTTCCTGCGCCTTTTTTTCCTCCTAACTTCAAAACTCAATCACCAACTCCCGGTTCTCTCTAATCCTCTAAATGGGTTAAGAACCTTTTGGGAGTCTTCAGCACTGCTCCAAGGATCTAGGCGGAGCCAACATTACGAGTGCCAAGTTGCTCTTTTCTAGTACGCCTCTGGCCTCTGGCCTAGCGCGATTTGACTTGCCATTTAGAGGTGGGCGGAGCCCTGGGAGAGAGTCAATTCCCTTCCCCTTTCCTTCTCCTACCCTTCAAAGTAGCGCACATCATTTCCCCGGAACCCAAGGAACGGTAGCTGCAGTTCCGGTCGGATTTACCAGGCGACGCACGCTGATATGGCTGCGCCAATACTGAGGGGCGTCCGGGAGCTGCTGAAGCATGCGAACTTCGCGCCCGTCCCGCGAAGACTCCGACATAAGAAGAAGTGGGTAAGGTCTGGGCGGGGTCTCAGCGGGGAAGCTTTTCAGCTTCTGCATTTCTTAGACGCCTCAGGTGAATTCGATATGCTAGTCCCATTTAGAACCCCTCGGCCGCTTTCTCTCCGCCCTTCAGGGAGCGTCACCGCCTCACGTCTGTTACGTCACTCCCCGTCTGCCTTTTATCCGTCACAAATCTTCGACTCTTTCCTGTTAACGTAGTAGTATCGTGACTCCGCCTCTCTAAGTTACGTCATCACCTCCGCCCTCATTCTTTCCGTTATGTCACCATCTTTTCTCTCCTGTGCTTACCTTTCCCTTGGCCCTCGCTACCCCCTCCTCTTCCCTTCCTCTTCCCTTCCTCTCCCCCATCCCTCACCCTTTCCTCCCTTTTTTCTCCCCCCTCCCCCCATGACTTCTAATTCTCCTTTCCTTCTTGAACTTTCAACCGGGTTGACCTCACCCTTCGAAAAACGCACTAACGATTTCCCTCCCCCTCCTGGGTGTCCGTTGCCCTGCGGGAAAAGATTGAGCCCCCTCCTCACCCTTGAGCTGCCTCAGGCGTCCAAAACAGGTTACAGCGACCACCATAACCAAACTGTGGGTCCTTCCCCAAATGCAGGCAAAAGGTGCAAAAACCCCCCTCCCCCCAAAGACCCTTGCTTCACCGGCATGTCCCCCAGCTTACCTCCTCGGATCTCTTCCCCGCCCCCACCACCTCCCTCCCCACCCCCACAGGAGAGATGTTCTTTTGAACCCTGTTCTTCCCCACACGTTGGAAGGCCGTACTGCCATGGGCCCAGACACTCTAGTTCATCTCCTACAAACCCATGTTTTGACCGGTTCGGCTTTCCGGAGTCACCCTCTGTCCGTCAGCGGAGCACGGTTTGCAGCTGGATCAATTCCCCAAGAAAGCAGCATCCTTGTCCTCCAAGTCCTTACTTTGAGCAGCAACCTTACCACTGTTGCTGCGGTCAGGTGACCTCTCCTGTCACTCATCAGGCCCCAGGAACCAGCCCGATGACCTCTCCTCAACTCACTCATGTTTGCTTAGAAACTGGCCCCTTGATTTCACCTCCCTTTATTCAGGGTTCCCAGGGAACTTGTCCCATAATTTCACCTCCTCTTACTCATAGGCCCCCAGGAACTAGCCTCATAATTTCATCTCCCCTTGTTCACCGGCCCATGGAAACTAGACCTATATTTTCTCCAATCATTTCTCATAAGGTTTTGGAAATTGGGACCATGACTTCCCCTCTCCTTTCTCACTGGTCCTCAGGGAGAAGTTATAATGACCCTCCTCTTTCCCCAGCATCTTCCCCAGCTACTGGCAGCCTTTATCAGTGCCACCTTAAGCTTCCAGATTCTTGTGAACCCAAACCACAGCTTGACCAGTCCATTGGGAAAAATTGTGGCTGCCAACTTTCTTCTCAGGCAGGCATGTCTGGCTCTCCTAACTCACCTGAGGAGGGCTCTTTTCATCTTCCCCCAGAGGCCCACATATCTGCCCCTGGGACCGCTTACTGTGCCATACACCTATCTCCTGAGAGTAAGGGTTCTCCTTGTTCACCTCAGTCTCAGGTTTCCGGGAAGCCTTGCTTTGATCCCCTTCTCTCCTGGGAGACTGACCAGAGCTCTTACCTCTTTGTAACCCCAGGCACTGTGATTTCTGGTCCTCCCTGTCCTCCAGAATCGTCTCTTCCCCAGTGTCCCTGTTCTGGCCTGTGCTATTCTTCACACTTGGGCAACCAGTTTATAGCTCCACCCCAGTCAGCCCCCCGCAGAAGCTATAATGAACCTCCTCTCCCTACCCCAGTTTCCCCACAAATGAAGTCCCCCAAATTCTCAGATTTAAGACAGCAGCATATTCTCCACAAATGTCACTCCCTAGTTAACACTCCCCAGCACGCTTCTGGCCATCCCAAGCCCTCTGAGGCTGGCACCTCTCCTCTGCCTCCCTCCTGCTTCTCTGGTCCTCGTGTGGAGCCATCTGTCACAACTCCTTTGAATTCTTGCCCAAAAGAACTTCCCCCAGGAACTGCCTTACCTGCTATGTGCCCTGGAATCGTCAAAACTACTGCCCCTACTTCCCTTCCCCTTAGCCTTCCTTGTGAACCTGTCATACCCAATAGTTATCCTAAGAGCAATCCCCATCGACCTCCCTTAGTTCCCCCCTGCAATACCCACCTATACTCTGTGGTTCCCACCACTTCCCATCCCTGCCAACTTCCTGGTTCCCTCAATCGCTCTACAGTTCCTCCCTGTGGCACCTATGGCACTCCCAGGGGTCCACCTGTACTCCACTGCAAGCCTGTGGCACCTCCTTGTTCTACCCATATCTATTCTTTTATTCCTCTGAGAACACCCTTTGACCCCCAGTCTTTACCCATTATCCCCCGAGCTCGGCCCTATCCTGATACTATCCCCTGTGGCCTTCATAACTATTCTGTGGCCTCTCAAGGCCCCTCCAGAGTGCCACTCCAGATCCCCTACAGCTGTCCTTTGCCTTCACCCAAGAACTCTATCTGTAGCAATGATCCCAGCTGTAGTTCATCCATTGTTACCAGTGAAAGTCATGTTAATGAGAGCAACAACAGGACTGTCTCCAAAAAAAAAAGTAATATCAAGAGTCCAAAGCATAGTGAAAGTGGGAGCCAGAGCTCGAGTCCGTACCATAGCAGAAGTCGGAGCCAGAGTCCGCAAGATAACAGAAATCAGAGCCGGGGTCAAAGTAAAGTAGAGGACGAGACTGAGAGTCCCCAAGTTGACAGCAATCAGGACCAGAGCAAGAGTTCTGACCATGGTCGAAGTCGGAAAAAAAGCAAGAGTCCCCGTAATGGTAAAAGTCAGGGCAGGAGCAAGAGTCCCCAAAACAAGAAGAAAGGTCAGGGTCGGAACAAGAGTCCCCGTCAGAAGAAAGGTCGAAGCAAGAGTCCCCGCGCTAACAAAACGTAAGGGCCAAGTCAGAAGACTGGTAACAAGACTGACTACCAGCCATAACAAGTATTCCATCTGCAGCAACCAGGACCAATTTGTGGACTCCTCATCTGAAGTCTTCATTTGCCTTTTAATCTTCCTTTATTTTCTTCAAATCTGACTTATGTCCCTCACTGCTGTCCCCATAGCAGTCATCCTAGAAGTCTCTGTCTTGATTCATATCTCAAGGTTCTGTGAACTCTCCTTATCCCACCCTTCTTAGAGTCTGGGAACTTTCCCCAAATTACCCTCAACACTATGGTTCAGAGCATTATGGTTCCAGACACTGCATAATCTTTGGTAAGTTACTGTCATCTCTTCATCAGTTGTGGAAAGTTGTTTTTTTGTTTTTTGTTTTTGTATTCTCCATAGGGCTACTATTGTTGTATTCAGGTAAGCTAGTAGACATAACAGACTTTAGAAAGTAGAAGGGCTGTTTACAGGAAAAGTGTCTTGATTTTAAACCCAAAGCCTTCCCAATACCACCATAGTTTATTTCAGAAATAAATACTGTAGTACCCCTTAATCCATGGTTTTGCTTTTCATAATTTCAGGTAACCACAGGCAACCATGGTCTGAAGATCTTAAGTGGAAAATTCCAAAAATAACTTCATAAGTTTTATTTTTTAATTTTTATTATTTTGTGGCACTGGAGCTTGAACCCAGGGGAGTCTTAGGCTGGGGTGAAGCTCAACATTAGAGTACTTGCATAGCATGCTCAATGCCCTGAGTTCAATCCCCACCACTGCAGGTGGAGATGGGGGCCAGTCTGGAATAAGAGGAATTTAAGAGAATGGTCATTCAAGAGAGGACTCTTGAACAGAGCCAGTAGAAATTTGGATCAGTGGTTAAGGACCCTTGGGTTCAATCCCCAGAAACAAACAAAAAAACCGACACATGGTGAGAGCTAGAGATTCCTTTGCTTCCTTTCATAGACCTAAGGTAGGAAGGCCAATTCCTTACCATTTTTCTCTCTCATACTTCTTTGTTAGGCAGAGGCAGAATGCGGAGGTGGGAGTGGATACTAACTGGATCAAAGTTTGCCCTTGAGCTCTGAGATACTGGTGGGGTCAGACAGTAGGGAATAGAGGCAAGACTGGGAAGACTGCCCTTTCTCTTTTAGGCAGCAACAGAGCCCAAATTCCCTGCCAGCCAGCTTGCTCTGCAGAATTTTGACATGACCTACAGTGTGCAGTTTGGGGATCTTTGGCCATCGATTCGTGTCAGTCTTCTCTCAGAACAGAAGTATGGTGCACTTGTCAATAATTTTGCTGCTTGGGACCATGTGAGTGCTAAGCTGGAGCAGCTTAGTGCCAGGGACTTTGTGAGTGATGCCATCTCCTGCTGGAAATTGGAGCCTGAGAGTGGTCACTCTGCAACCCTGTCCCCAGACTGCAGTCCAAATCTTCGGTGCTTCACTTTTGCCAGAGGAGATGTCAGCTGCTTCCCTTCTGCCAGGTAGGATCTGGAGCCATGACTGGGACTGCCCTACCAGAGGTAGAATGAAGGTTCCCAACTTCTGCCCTCTGTGATAAGGATCATAATATTGCTAATTTTCTGGTGTGCTAATTGCTATTCATAATGTTATTCTGTTTTGTTCTGTCAACATCTTGATGAAATAGGTAAATTATTACTCCTCTTTTACATTTGAGGAAACTGAGGTGCAGAGAAGTTAAATTACTTACTTGGTTTAGCTTCTTTGATAAGGTTAGTATGTAGACCCAGGTAACCTGCTCCACTGCCTTCTATAGGAAACAACCACCTCTTACATGAGCATTCACTGCACCCTGTCCAGTTAAAAAGCTTGTTATTCACAGCTGATTTTGCCCTCACAGCCACCTTTCAAAGTAAGTAGGACAAATAATCTTAGATACCAAAGAGGAAGTGGATTTTCTTAAGAAATGGACTCTGCCTAAGGGTACAAGTTAGTGATAGACCTGGAAAAAGAAAAAAATTTACAGTCTCTTGATCCATTACTCATATATATGAAGTTGAATGAGAAAAGACTCTAGAATCAAGTACTGAATTGTGTGTTGAGAAAAGGAGAAAAGGAGAGCTCAGTGTTATAGGATGTGGAAATTGATCTTTGAATGATTGATTGATTCATTCAATAAATATTTATTTTCTACCAAATGCCAGGCATTTAAGTGCCTTGGTTACTAGTACACAAACCATCAAGGAGCTTCTGGTATGGGAAGGAAGACAACTATTAAAAATCTCTTTATGGGCTGGGGATGTGGCTCAAGTGGTAGCGTGCTTTCCTGGCGTGCGTGCGGCCCGGGTTCAATCCTCAGCACCACATACAAACAAAGATGTTGTGGCCGCCAAAAACTAAAAAATAAATATTAAAAAAATTCTCTCTCTCTCTCTCTCTTTAAAAAAATTGAATATTAAAATCTTTAAAAAAAAATCTCTTTATGCCAAGTGTGGTGGGACATGCCTATAATCCCAGTGACTTGAGAGGCTGAGGCAGGAGGATTGCAAATTCAAGATCAACCTCAGCAGTTTAGTGAGGCCCTAAGCAACTTAATAAGATCCTGTCTCAAAAAATAAAAAATGGG